ACGCCGCCTCAATATCCACTTTTGCCATAAGTGCCCCATGCCCGGCCCGTTTAACCAGCTCGACCGCCCGGTCGAATGATGCATACGAGACCGAGCATAGGTCCTTATCAATACCGTCATTCACCGACTCCCCTTTTGGGTAGGAGAGGTGGTGAATGAGCCGGAATTTCCCCGGCTCCTTCTTTGGCACCACCCCAAGAGGGGAAACCCGTAGGTCCTCCAATGGGGGCACCGCAAACGGGCCCGCCATCCGCCCCAGCGCAACCTCCTTGTCTAGTTTCTCCCGTACCACCTCCGGGAAATCCGCCACCGACTTCAGGTTGCGCAACCCCCCCGAACCCCCCCGCTCCCGGAAGGGAATAAAGAAACCCCGCCCGAAGCCTTCCCTAAGTACCGAGGCATCAGTCCTGTTACCGTAGCGGCTTAGCCACGGCTCCATCGCGTCTAGCCTCACCGGCGTGAAGCCCCGGGGCAGGGGAAGCATTCCCTCCGGCCCCGGCAGCCGCTCCGGCTGTTCCCGCCTTCCCTTTTTTGAAACAGCGATTGAGCCCATGAGCACCCCCGCAACCGGAGCACTCATGCTTAAATCGACACGCGTTTCCCCATTTGCACTGGCCCTCATTGTAGAGCCAGCAGAAGCCCTTTTGCAAAGCGGCCAACGAGGCGGACTGCCCCTTCGCGCCGGCCGAGTTTGGAAAGGGCTGCGCCTTCTGGGCCATCATTAGCTTCATCCAGAGGGGCAGATCCATCTGATCCCACCTCATCCCCGGGTTAGCCGCCAGTCGCTGCCTAAACTGTTCATCGTATCGCCACCATGCCAGCCCCCATAGGTGCGATATGCTTCCCAAATGCCGTCCAGGTAGCAGAACAGGGACGAGCATAATCCCGGCGATTTTTCCCCCAGCACGCTAGCTAGCACGCAAAACGCCCGTAACCAGTTGCCAAAGGATTTCGGAATCTTGCGATACCGCTTCCTCTTCTCCTCCTCCTCCTTCTTTTCATCCTTTTTATCCTCCTCCTTGAGGTCAATAAAGTCCTCCAAGGGGAGCAGGGAGAAGATCTCGCAGAACTCACCTTTCCAGAGCTTCTCTTTCACGTCCTGTTTCAGATGAACCCCCAGGGGGCCCGCAAACGAGACGTATGCGTGCTGCCTCGCTGCATCCGGAATACCCCCGGCCAGTTCCGCCTTGTCACCCCCGGCCGCCATCGCCTCGGGCGCCACCCCCACGTCCCCGCCCGAACTAAGCCCCACGGAAACCCCACTAGGACCAGGGACCTCCGTCCCCGGGGCCCAAACCCGACCAACGCCACCCCCCGTGTCACCCCCCGCCCCCAGCGAGTGGAGCAGTGCTTGCAGTGTGCTAACTAAGGAACTGGAGTGTAGTGACCCACAAGACTCACCGGCCAAGCCCCCTGCAACTGACGCGGCAGGGGCTGCGTCGTCGACTGCCCGATGTCCAGGGAGAGCGACTCCCGCCGATACCTCGCCAACCGGGGAGCCAAACCGGTGCCTTGCCCGTGTCGATATGGAACAGCTCCGTGACCTGGAAAGAGGAGAAGAAGTCCTGGGTAGGGTGCACTGAGTATTCGCATCCCCCCCGTCCCGACCCTGGGAGCGCCTGCCCATTGCCAAAGCCTCCCGCTGTGCCCCCTGCATGCGCCGCGCGCGGGAGCCCCTAGGGCTACGGCTCCTCCTGTCTTCTCCGGGCATACGTCCCCGCCGACCACCCCTGGGAACGCTAGACCCGCTCTCTCCTGAGCTCCCTGACCTGGAGCGGCGCTGCCGGGACCTCCCCCTCCTCCCCCTCCTCCCCCGTGGCTCTACTTCCCGAACCGGAGAGGGACTACCACTACAGGACCCTGAACCGGACCCCCCCCGCCTACTACCCTGCACCCCCAAACGCTCACCCCTCCGGCTAGAGCCTGACCCCCCACCTGAACTGGCTCCCAGACTAAGGGGACCTAGACCCCCCTCAACTAGACTGGCCCCCCCAACCCCTAAACCAGGCCTACCCGACCCTACCCGCACCGGCCTAGCCCCAGCATCCAAGGAGGCCCCCTTTCCCCTACCAGGGGAGCCCAGCAGTCCCTCCTCACCCACAGCCCCCCCACCCCTACCACTACTCCCCCCACCTATGACCCCTATGCCCTCCCCATCCACCACCCCCGGTCCCTGGGAGGCCTTCCCACCCCCAACTTGGGCCCTCCGCCCTCCGCTTCCTGTCAGGACCCCCCCAGCACTTTTCCCGCCAAGGGGGCCCCGGCCGGAGCCCCCTGCACTTGCCTTTGGGGCCGGGAACCGGCCACGTGTCCTCCCGGTCCCGGCCCCGCCGATCTCCGCCTCCGACGGGGCGTGCGCCCTCCCGGGCCGCAGCTCCATGCTGCCCGCCCCTCCAGGGGACCGCCCGGCCACGTCTGACCCGGCAGCCGCGACGGCTCCGTCCCGACCGTCCCCCCGGCGCCGGGCACTAGTCCTAGGCTCCGGCCGCTCGCGGGGAGGCGGGGCCTCTACCACGCGGCTGCCAGGCCTGCTGCCGCCCGCACCGGAGCCTCCCGGACCACCAGGGATGTCTTCACCGGGTCCCACACCCGGGCTTAGTCGCTCCGGAGGCCTCCTGGCCCGAACAGGCCGTCGTCCGCCGCCGTCCTGGTCCGCCGCCGCCGCCAGGGCCGGGCCTAACTGGGCCTTCAGCCAGTCAGCCCCCTGGTGCCTCGCCGCCGACCGGATCCGCTCCAGCAGTCGCTCCACTTCCTCCATCGGCCCTGCAGGGAGACAAAAGAAAAAGCCCTACCAAGCCAAATCTGTGCCCACAGGAGCGAACACAAACTTAACCAGGTAGGAAGTTAGAATGAATTAACTAAAATGGCTGCCCATTTAAATAACCAAACCCACTTACCCATAACTCCACTCCCTTGCTTACTTCCTCCTAGGCCCGCCTCCTAACCCCTGTCAAGGCCTTTTTCCGCTTAGCTGCGCTTGGCTACATGGGGCTACAGGAATATTAAATACACTATAATTCATTTAGCACTATTTAATTTGTCTCCCATGTTGAAATTAGTGTAGGACTCACCGATATTGGGGTACTGTGGTGTAGTGGTGGGCTCAACACAATATGGCCATGTGGTGGAACTGATCCCCATATTTGCTGGCTGAGATAGGTGAGAACTATTTTTTTGTGTGTGAGCTGTTCCTTAATCTGTATTTTATACATGTTGGTCCCTACAGCAGCACCCCTACTGAGAAATCTAGGTTCCAGGCGTGCCCCCAATTCCCTTTTATATATATATATTCAGGAATATGTAACACTAATCACATACAAATTGCAAACAGATGTGAAGATCTTTCTAGGATGTGAAGATCTTTCAGAAGCAAACTACATCTGGATATTCATTCTATAGAAAGAACCAACAGGAACTCAACATAAAGCTTTCGTCCACATAAAACATTCTAAACATTTCTGTGGATATGACATGGAGACAAGGAGAGGCTCCCAGTTTACTATGTTCCCACCTATTGAGGACACAATTTACCTGCTCCTGTTTGTATGTTTTTATTTACTTAACTGTTCTTACTGCATTTCCAACCTCATATACCACAACCCAGACCACATAGACACATTGGAGTACCACTCCTCAACCC